ATATCCCAAATATCCCAAAATTCATTTGCCCCTCCTAGTAGGAATTCTGGCCTACTTTTAGCCTCTAAGAGTGATTTTAAAATAACAGAACTGAATGAAATGTGCTCATTCATCCCTCAGGTTCCTTGCCAGAGGCTTCCACTCCCTCCAGACCACTCAGCTCATCACCCACAGTTGTCTGCGGAGAATGCAGATGCTGGCTGCCTCCTGCGGGTGGCACTGTACCAAGAGGTAGGCCTACAGCCTGCTCCCCAAAGGACCAAGGAGCAAGTAGGCATTTTTCTCCTTAGGTGAAATAATGGAATTTGGCTGTGAGGTTGTTTATTTTTCATGTCCTTATCTCTTAGAAAAACCTACGTGGATGAAATGTGATTTCATGTGTGTCTGGGATTTGCTACAAAAGCAGGAGGATGTAGGAGGTCAGGATGAAGCAGGATGGGCCATGATTGCTCACTTCTGAAGCTGGGTGCACGAGAGTACACTATACTCTTCTGCCTACCTTTATTTTTTCCCTTTGGCAGCTGGCCAGGACAGGGATCAAACACTTGATAGCACTGCACTCTGAGCTAACCAGCCAGGCCCTCGGTTCTGCCAGCATTTGCATGTTTAAATTTTCTATAAATTAAAAAGAGAGAACAAGTCAGTGGGGCGCTAAGAGTCTGACCAACTTGGGTCTCAGCTTTAATTCTATCCTTCCTATCTGTGAGACCTCAAACAAGAAGGAACCTCTATTTCCTTGTCTGTGAAATGGGGCTAATCACAGGTACCTCAAAGATTGCCAGGAGAGCTTTTAATGAAATAGTGCATGGAAAGCACTTAGCCTGTTACTTGACACCTAACCAGTACCAGTAACTCGTGTTGTGGCTGGGAATTTGGGTCAGTTGACCCCTGGCTGACCATTTGGGGTGGGTAGTAGGATCAGAGGAGGAGCCCGGGGCCCACCTTCTGAATTGGGTGGACACACAGCCTCCATCTTTGATTGAACTGCTCTTGATTCCACTTACATCTTTGGTTGGTTTGGACCTTTCTTGGCAGCAGTTTGGAGCGAGTATCAGCAGTCAGATTCCTGGATATGATATGGCTAAAATATCGGGTAGCTGAAGCATTTATTTAGTTACTTATTTTTAAATATTTCCTTTTGAAATAATTATAGATTCACAGGAAGTGGCAAAAATGTACCAGAAGATCCCAAGTACCCTTCACCCGGTTTCCTCAGGGATAACCCATCTTTGATATGTCTGTGATACAACCAGGAAAGTGACGTCGGTACAGATACCACAGAGCTTATTTAGATTTCACCAGTTCTATAGGCACTTATTTGTGTCTTCAGTTCTATGCAGTCTTGACACACAGTTAGATCCGTGTAACCACCACACAATCAAGATACAGAGTAGTTCGCCACCATTGAGGAGTGTGTATTATTTAAACAAAGGCAACAAAGCTATTATTTTTTCATTACTTGAAACCTATTACCCAGATATACCACTGTTGACATTTTGTTGAACACTTTTCCTGACTGTGCTCTAAGTTGTTCTCCTGCCCTTCTCTCTGACTCTCCTTGTTCTCAGACTGTTTGGAGGCAGTGCCTCTTTGCCTGCCTGTTCTACTGTTCCGGTAGATGGAGGTCTCACAGGCAGTGAGAGAAGTGGCCTGCGGGGTTCGTGGTCTCAGGTCTTGCTTGCTCACAGAAGACCAGAGTCAGCATCTGCCACTTGCTCTTTGAACCCAGCCTTCCCATGCTGCCCCTTGTCCACCTGCCCCCCTTGGGTGGAGTCATCTCCAAGACATGATTTGGCCTCCTTCTAAAAAGCATCCACAGTTCTGGATTCTCTGGCGTGCAGCTCCCTGACTGTAGGCAGGACTCTTGCATCTTCCCTACCAGGGATTCTAATCACCACCCGTCACACTCAGCCAGGGGTTCTCCCTGCATGAGACCCTGGGCCAGTCATCTGACATACCTGTCTCCAGGAATCCTCAGAGCAACCCATGGGGGCAGCTATTATCTTCTCAGACAAGGAGTGCGATGCTCAGAGAGGTTGAGTGGCTTCCCTGGTCACTGGCTGGTGTGTGGCAGAGCCAGGACTTGGGGCCAAAGTTGTTCACTTAACCACTAGCCTCCCCCGCCTCCCAACAGCAGTGGCCACTGTTAACCCAGGATTCCTGTGTCTTCTTGTAGGTGATTCCAGGCCAGAATGGGAGACTCCAGGGACCTTTGTCCTCACCTTGACTCCATAGGGGAAGTGACTAAGGAGGACTTGCTGCTCAAATCTAAGGTAAAGGTTAGACCTTACAGGGCTGTGGCGTTCCTGGGTAGGCCATTTCAGAAGCAGTGGAAGAGCTGGCCTCGACAGTCTCCATTTAGGCTCTGCATAGATGAGGGCGCTGGCAGCCATCTGGGAGGCCTCCTTCCGGGGCTGCGTCCAAACAGCTGTTAATTATAGCCTAGACCAGGCTGTTTGGGAGCCACTAATGCTCTCTGTCCATTAGCTGTTTGGGGAGGGGGTGCACTGAGGCAGGGAGTGCAGGCTGCTTTCAGAGCCCATAGGCGTTTTTGCAGCCTGACCCGAGGAGGCTCAGGGAGGCCTGCGCAGGAAGGCGGGCCTCTTCTCTGAGTGGGAGGATGTGTTGTGTCGTCCTGTTTTTGTTAAGTTGAACTTTTTTGAAAAGGTAGCACTTTCTTGTGCTTCAGAAATGGAACAACGTAAGAAAGTAAGTGTCGAAGTCCTCTCCCACCCCATGCCCACCCTTCCCTTAAGCAGCCACTTACATTAATTTCTTTTGTATCTTTTCAGAGTTTCTTTTTTTTTTTTTTTTGTCCTTTTTTGAGACTGGCCGCACTGCGCTCAGCCAGTGAGAGCTGTGAGCGCACCGGTCATCCCTATATAGGATCCGAACCCGCGGCGGGAGCGCTGCTGCACCCCCAGCGCCGCACTCTCCCGAGTGCGCCACGGGCTCGGCCCATTTTCAGAGTTTCTTTATACGAAATCCAGTAGATACACTCACTTTTAATTTTGCCCTTTCTTACATAAATGCTGGCATACTGTTGAAGCTGTTTTGTACCTTGCTTTATCCACATTATGATGTACCTTGGAGCTCTTTCGACCTCAGTATGTAGATACAGCTTTTTCCTTCCTTGTCCTGAAGTTGCATCATGTTCCATTGTGTGGGTATAACTGACCCTCTGTGGGTGGACACCTGGGCTCCTTGCAGCCTCTCGCCAGTACAAGTGATGCTGCAATGAGTGGCCTCGTAGAGATCTCATCGTGGACATGGGCAGAACCATGCATGGGGTACATTGCCAGCAGTGGGATGATTGGGTCGGACTCCTAGACATATTACCAGGTCTCCTTTCCAGGCACCTAAGGCTGGTCATTTGGCCTCACTGTGCCGGTAGGCCCTTGGTGGGCTTTGGCCTGAGATGGTTTAGTCATGGGCCTGGTGGGAGTGCCCATAGCTGTTTTTGTTTATTTTATTTTTTGGTAGTTCACCAGTACAGTGATGGAACCCTGGACCTTGGTGCTATCAGCACCACACTCTAACCAATTGAGATAAGTTGCCACCCCCATAGCTGCTTTTGAAGTGATGTCAAATCTTGTGTGGCATGGAGGAGGGACAGAATGAGGCTCGGGTGCATTTGCATGGTTGGATGCTGGGTTTTTTTCCGAGTCTGCACCAAGGAATAAGTGAGACTGACCTGGAGAGTTTCTCCTCAAAGAAGACAGGAATTAGAGGAATCTGAGAGCAGGGAGGAGATGAACCAGGTGAGAGGAGGGATGTAGAGCACTGGCAGATGTGGGCTGGGACTGGCAGCCTCTGAGAAGCGTGTTAGTGCCCCAAGAGCAGGGAGACTGAGAGTGTGGGGCAGCTCCGGGCCTGCGTGTCAGAGTCTTCAGCACCTGTCCAGGTATCCAGAAAGTTATAAAATAAAACCAGCGCTGTTTTAAGATACTCATAAGGGGCAAGGATATGAGCAGGCAGCTCACAATGAAGGAAATGCAAATAGCCACAAAACTTGGGAAAGGTTGCTTAACTTTGCTGGTGGTCAACGATGTTGCCCATTTTTCAGATGGGCAGAAACAGAGACCGATCACATTCAGAGCTGACAGTTATGGAGAAAAATGGACCCCTCACTTTGTGGTGGGGCTGGGAATCCCTGTAACCTTTAGAGAAGCAATTCCACTTCTGGGAATTTATCCAGTAGAGATGTAAGTACCACTTACAAAGTTACAGCAGTATTATGAGCATTACTTGTAAAAGGGAAAAACTGGTGACAGTCTGAATATCCATCAAGAAGGGAATGGGTGGCTAAATTATAGTGTGTCCATAGTGTGGGACACTGTGCAGTTACTGCAAAGCATGAGGTGTGGTCTCTATGTACAAACTTAGAAGGATGACCATGCATAGGTGACAAAAGCATGTTACAGAGAAATATGTATTGTATGTCTTATTTTTACTGAAAATCACCCCCCTGAGATCTGTGCCTGTATGTTTGTATAAGGAGAATGTATGGAGGGACAGATTCAAATCATTACAGTGTATCTGAGGGATCTTAAAAAAGTTCGTGGAAAGGGCCGAGCCCGTGGCGCACTCGGGAGAGTGCAGCGCTGGGAGTGCAGCAGCGCTCCCGCCGTGGGTTCGGATCCTATATAGGGATGACCGGTGCGTTCACAGCGTTCAGTATGTACATATATCATTTGAATTGTTACAGTAAGCATACAATACTTTTATAATTCAAATGACTGAAAGGAAAAAAAAATCTGGGAAGATGGAGTGAATTGTGAAATCAGAAAATGTAAATTCAGAAAGGTCTTCAGTATGTACATATATCATTTGAATTGTTACAGTAAGCATACAATACTTTTATAATTCAAATGACTGAAAGGAAAAAAAAAAAATCTGGGAAGATGGAGTGAATTGTGAAATCAGAAAATGTAAATTCAGAAAGGTCATGGGCTGTGGCTTTTGAGTCTGCTGTGCAGACTGACTGGTCTCTTGTCACCCGACAGCATCCTTGATGGGAGACAGACCCTAAATCACAGAGTGCGGGTCTCAGCTCTGTTGTACGGGATGAGCTGCTTCCCCTCAAGCCTATTGAGAGTTCTGTGTTCAGCCTTTTTATAGACACAGCCAGAACCTGGGTTTAGTTTAGAATGAGAGGTTTCTGTGGAGGCCTGGGAGCTGACATGGCCACCCTCGGGGGAAACTAGCCTTTCTGGGTGACAGATTTGATGACCTTCCTTCTTTGGGGCCCAAGCTCCTTGGCTTCACCTTTTGATCATGTTCTATGTCAGGGGTATGAACCTCTGAGCCCCTGTTTCTCATCTGTGAAAAGGGGATCTTGGGGGGCCTGCTGCACCGACTGGTGGGGATCACATAAGCAATGTGGAAAGGACTTAGCTGCATACTTGGTTCCCTGTAATCCCTCACCAGGTGTCAGCTGTCACTCTGATTAAGCCTGGTGATACAGCTGCTGTCAGAGACTATTACTTACAACTCTTCTTCCAACTGATGGAAGCATATCAGTTGTAGGATCTCAGTTGGCAGTTGCTGTGACAAAGAGACCCTGAAATACAGTGACTTAAATGAGATAGAAGTGTGTTTTTCTCTCACAGAGCAGACCAGAGGTAGGTAGGCCTGGTAGGGCACTCTGCTGTTCTTAACACATGGCTTCCATCTCTGAGTCCAAGGTGGTTGCCTCAGCTCCTGCCATCACATCTGCATTCCTGCCGATGGTAAGAAGAGAAAGAGCAAGGGTAGCACACAGCTCAGAAATGGAACGTGTCACTTTAGTTGTCATCTCGTTGACTAGAACTGAACCATACGATCACAGCGGAAGCTGGGAAACATAGTTTGTAGCTGGCTGGCTATGTGCTCAGCTAAAATTCATGCATTCTATTATTAGAGCAAGAAGGGGAGAAAGGATGCTAGTAGACAAGGAGCAGGCTCTGTCATCCAGAGCACTGGAAACCCAGGGGTGTTTTGTGGTCGACAGATATATTCATCTAATTTGTACCAGGCCCTGTGAATTCCCAGGGGTGGACAAAATGGTCCACACCCCCTCATGGAGCCCACAGTCTAAGCGGGGAGACAAGCTTAAATAAGTACAATAAAGGAAGAGTAAAAGAGGTGATGAGAGAGTATATTATGGGGTCTGTTTGTTGAAGTTTTAAAAGATTTTATTTGAAAGTGTTTTTACAGGCACATGATAAACATTCAAAGTCAAGTGTAAAGTACCTCTGGGGACCTAATTTAGATGGGTGGGCCACCGTAGACCCTCAGCAGTGAGTAAGCGCCAGCCAGGAGTGTGGCATCCAGCCCCCCAGGGCTGCTCTCACTTGCTCTCTCTCTCTCTCTCTGACTCCCTCAGGGAACGTGTCAGTCATGTGGTGTCAGCGGACCCAACCTGTGGGCCTGTCTCCAGGTAAAGGACCCTGCAGCCATTGTGGGTGTGAGCTTGGTCTAGACTCTGGGCTGGGAATGTCTGTCCCCAGTGGGCGCTGTGGGAAGCCTTGGTCAGGGGCACAGGGCATCAGAGTCAGCGAGTCCATCAACAATGGCAAGAGAACAGAGCAGGGAGGAGAAGGCTCTGGGCTCAATGATCCTGTTTTCCTAAGAGACTGAGTTCTGTATTCGCATTGGCACATGTGGGGTGACAGACGTCTTGGCTGTGAGCCCTGGCCCTGCTTCTAGCATCAGTCTCTCCCTGGGCCAGTCTTGTCTCTTCCCTGGGCCCCTGTTCCCCCATCTGTGGAGTAGGGGCCATAGCACTGATAACGGTCCCCACCTCATGGGGGTAGGGTGGAATTTGACACCATGCATGTCTGTGACTGACTTAGCATGGTGTCTGGCCCGCAGACAGTATCCAGGAACGTCTGGTCAGGTTTTGATGATTATTGCTTATTAAAAAGAGTAGAAGTAGATGTATCAAAACACTACAGTTTTCTTTGGGTGGTAGAATTATAGGTAATTTTTGCTTTTTTCTCTGTAGCTAGCTTTGTAGTATTTTTCAAGATTTCTGTAAGTATGTATTGCATTTTATAATTGTTCTAAAAGTGACTTACTTAAAATTTCTTGAAAAAAACAAAAGTAGAAACGAAAAAGAAAACACTAGCGAGTGAAGACAACCAGTCAGTCTTTGCAGAAGATATGGAACCCCCGATGGGATTCTGACCTCTTCCGTTTGGGCCTGTCACCCAGCGTAAAGTAGATTGCAAGACATTGTCTGGGTACTCGTGGTCCTACCTCATAGGAGCCCACGGTCTCCCAAGAGTATGAGTCCGCCAAAAGGTCTTGTCCTCAGAAGGCCCTCACCAGCCCATGCAGTGCTGATCACAGGTGGAAATGACACCAGGTGTTCCCGTGGAGAGGCAGGTGCCATCCACACTGGCTGAGGTAGCAGCCTGCAGTGGAGAGGTACTTGAGCTGGACCCTGGAGGATGGGTAGATTTGGGGTTGGAGAGTGCAAGGCCAAAGGCAGGGACATGTGGGCCTCGTTGTGGGGCACTGGATCAGCATTAGGCCCCAACTGTCTCACCATCCTTGTTTTGTATACCTGGTGTCCATTCAGCATCTGCCATTAGAAAATGGCTACGAGCCCCAGGATCCCCCACCAAAAATGTGGTTCCTGATAACTGGAAAGAAGCTGGGTTTTGGTGGAGGGAGAGGGTCTGGACCCCAAGCAGCCAGGCCCCACTACAACCCTTCCTGGGCTTCTAGCAGGACAGCAGTAGCCCAGGACGCACTGTCCCTCTCCCTTGGAGGGCAGGGGCAGCATTTATGGTGGCCATCCCTGTGCAATGTGAACTTCAGGGGTATAGTCCTGTGTTCCTTTAGGATGGCAGAGCCTCAATCCCTTGTGGGTTCTGTTGGGAAGAGATGGGGAACACTGACTTTGGGTGGAGTCAGAGAATCGTTGCATTGACACTCGTAATAACTTCGTATAGCATACATTATACGAAGTTATACGACTGTTGACATTTTGTTGAACACTTTTCCTGACTGTGCTCTAAGTTGTTCTCCTGCCCTTCTCTCTGACTCTCCTTGTTCTCAGACTGTTTGGAGGCAGTGCCTCTTTGCCTGCCTGTTCTGCTGTTCCGGTAGATGGAGGTCTCACAGGCAGTGAGAGAAGTGGCCTGCGGGGTTCGTGGTCTCAGGTCTTGCTTGCTCACAGAAGACCAGAGTCAGCATCTGCCACTTGCTCTTTGAACCCAGCCTTCCCATGCTGCCCCTTGTCCACCTGCCCCCCTTGGGTGGAGTCATCTCCAAGACATGATTTGGCCTCCTTCTAAAAAGCATCCACAGTTCTGGATTCTCTGGCGTGCAGCTCCCTGACTGTAGGCAGGACTCTTGCATCTTCCCTACCAGGGATTCTAATCACCACCCGTCACACTCAGCCAGGGGTTCTCCCTGCATGAGACCCTGGGCCAGTCATCTGACATACCTGTCTCCAGGAATCCTCAGAGCAACCCATGGGGGCAGCTATTATCTTCTCAGACAAGGAGTGCGATGCTCAGAGAGATTGAGTGGCTTCCCTGGTCACTGGCTGGTGTGTGGCAGAGCCAGGACTTGGGGCCAAAGTTGTTCACTTAACCACTAGCCTCCCCCGCCTCCCAACAGCAGTGGCCACTGTTAACCCAGGATTCCTGTGTCTTCTTGTAGGTGATTCCAGGCCAGAATGGGAGACTCCAGGGACCTTTGTCCTCACCTTGACTCCATAGGGGAAGTGACTAAGGAGGACTTGCTGCTCAAATCTAAGGTAAAGGTTAGACCTTACAGTTCAGGTGACTTTGAGGAGCTCATGTCAGCAAATGCTCACTGAGCCCAACTGTGTGCCCAGGGCTCTGTGAGGAGGTGAGGACGCAGAGGTGACTCAGAGTAGGGCCTCCCTTGAGGAGCTCATGGGCCATGGGGCGGCTATAAGTGCAAAGGATGGGATGGGCCCTGGGCTGTGTAGACCCTTCCAGGTCTCACGGGGAGCGCAGAACAGGGTCGCAGATGGCCCCTGGCAATCCCAGATCTAAAACATATCCTAAGGGATTTGCAGTAGTCACTGCAGTGTGCTTCTCTGTGGGAAATACCCAGAAACCACCTGGTGATGTGTCAACCAGAGAAGGGCCCTCAGAGCAGCAGGGTACTGTGCAGCTCTCATCCCCGTTTAGGCAGTCACATGATAGGTGCTCAGTACATGTGTGAACATGGTGGATGTTGTGAAACAAAAAACAGGCTATAAAACAACCCACACAATATCCCACTTTTATGTGTATATGTGTATTAACAGTTTAAAGTCCACATATATCCATGTAGACTGTTAACAGTGTTTCTGTCAGTGGTGTTTTAATTTACATGTCTGTTTTTTCCCTAATTTATCATAAGTAACAAATCATATAAGTAACATGCGCTAACCAATTGTGCCACTGGAGCTTCTAACATAAATCATTATCATTCATTATTGCAAATAAAAAATATGTTGGGGAGTTTCCAGGGCAAATTTATCATAAGTAACAAATCATATAAGTAACATGCGCTAACCAATTGTGCCACTGGAGCTCCTAACATAAATCATTATCATTCATTATTGCAAATAAAAAATATGTTGGGGAGTTTCCAGGGCGAGGCTACCAATCCCAGTCTTTCCATGATGTCCTCTGCTCAGGTGGGTGGCTCAGTCCAGGCTCAGGGCTATGGGGATGGGCTTCCCTCCCTCCCCATCCTCCTGGCTTTCCTCACTCTGGGTCTTTAACACAGGAGTCTCTGCCACCCTGCCACCCTCTGAAAGCTGTCCCTATTGCCGTGGCTGACGAGGGAGAGTCCGAGTCAGAGGACGATGACCTGAAACCTCGAGGTAATGGTCCCAGAACAGGGAAGCTGTTGGGCCAGGCGTGGCCTCTGCTGGAGGTGGGAAGCTCTGGGGTCTTTGTCTCTGCTTGCACCAGCTGCCACAGGCATGGAAGGGCAGGGTGACAGATGACCTGTGCTGCGAGCCGGCCTCCCTTAGAGGGCCAGCCAGCCCGCCCAGCTGAGGTTCTAGACACTTGGCTATCCTCATCCCCTCTTTCAGCAGTGTGACCTTGAGCAGGCTGGCCCCTCCCCGCGTGACCTTCTTGTCTGTATGGTGGGGACAGAGGGCCTGGCTGCATGGGGGCGAAGGAGTCCATCTATTTAACACTGTAGCTGTCATGAGCAAGAACCACATTCATTTCCTTGGAAGATTTCCATGTCCTTCTTTGGGTGGGTCCTGGGGTTGAGGGCCACATCTCAGCTCCAAGTGTGACCTGCGAGGTTTCCTCACCAGCACAGGGCACTCACCTCTCCCTCCCCTGATGTGTTTGTTTCCCAGGCCTCACAGGCATGAAGAACGTCGGGAATTCTTGCTACATGAATGCCGCCCTGCAGGCCCTGTCCAACTGGTAGGTCGTCACGTACCTGAGGGGTAGGGGCTGGGAGCTGTCCTGGCAAAGCCCTGGAAACAGCAGCAGCAGCCCCCAACCCGTGTTGCATGTGTTGCCTGCAGACATGTATACAGGATACGCATGAAAATTCCTAAAAATCGCTCATGCCCTTTGACCCAGCAATCCCCCCAGTCGGGATTTATCCTAAGGAGATAACCAGAGATGTTGAGAAAGTTGTGTACAAGTGTAAGGAGGTTCATCAGTCTCTTGTTTTTATTTATTCATTTTTTTGGCAGCTGGCTCGTACAGAGATCCAACCCCTTGGTGTTGGTGTTATCAGCACCACACTCCTCTCCCAAGTATGCTGACTGGCCAGCCCCTCCTCACTCTTGTTCACTGGAAACAATTTAAAGGCCTATTTGCAAGGGAGTAGAAATTCATTGTTGCCCAGCCTTACAGCGAGTGCAGGAAGAAATGATGCAAGGCAATGTTTTTTGAAATAGGGAGGGGTTCAGAGTCTGAGAAGTAGGCAAAAAAGGAGGTTATAAAGCTCTATATAAAGCTTATAAAGGAGGTCCCGTTTTGGGGGGAAATGTTGTTTTCCATTGAGGATACACTGTCAACTCCATGAGGCCAGGGACATTTCCCATGCCTGACACAGGGTCTCCAACCTAGTAGGGATTCAGTATATCCCTGAGGGAAGGAGGGAGGGAAGGAATGGGTGTGTGTGCATAGAAAAGTCTGGAAGGACAAGTCTCAAAATGTTCAAAGTAGCTATCTTCAGGTGGCAGGATGAAGGTCAATTATTATTGTTTGCTTATCTATATTTTATAATTTTTTGACAATAAATGTATATTTCTTATGTAATAAGGTAACTTTTAAGAACACAAGTGAAGAGTAAGTGGGGAAGACACCTTCAGGCCCCGGAAGGTTTCTGCACCGTGGGCCAGTGGGAGGAGCAGGAGCTGCTTCCTCTTCTGTGTGCCACAGCTGTCCCCTGGCCTCACGGCCCTCCAGTGGAAAGCTTACATCTGCCCCAGGGGAAAAGGGAGGTCCATTCGTTTCTTAGGGCTGCCATAGCAAAGTACCACAGACTGGGTGGCTTCAGCAACAGAAATTTATTTCTCACACTTCTAGAAGCTGGGAGTCTAAAATCAAGGTGTCGGCAGGGCTGGTTCCTTCTGAGGCCTCTTCCTTGGCTTGTAGATGGCTGCCCACTCCTTGAGTCCTCACGTGGTCTTCCCTCTGTGTGCACGTGTGTCTGGTGTGTCCAAATTTCCTCCTTTTATAAGGACACCAGTCAGATTGGATTAGGGCCCACCCTAATGGACTCATTGTAACTTAACTACCTCTTTAAAGACTCTGTCTCCAAATATAGTCACATGCTAAAGTACTGGGTGTTAGGATTTCCACATATGGATTTTGGGGGGACACAGTGCAGCCCATATAGGTGGGATCCTTCTAGTCATCTGCAGGCATTTCTAGATCCTGGGGGCCACTGTGCATCCGCAGGAGCACTCAGGGCTTTTGCTTTTCTACCCAGCTCTTCCTAAACAATGCCACATTCCTCTTCTTTTCTCTTCTGTTCTGGCCCCCTCTCCCCACCCTCCAGCCCTCCACTGACCCAGTTCTTCTTGGAGTGTGGAGGCCTGGTGCGCACAGACAAGAAGCCAGCCCTGTGCAAGAGTTACCAGAAGCTGGTCTCTGAGGTCTGGCACAAGAAACGGTGAGTGACCGAGTCCCTGACCTCGGGCAGGTTTGTGTGTAGCTTTTCTGTCAGCCCCCTTGATGGAGCACTTCATGGATTCAGCCCCAAGCTGAGCACGTGCCTTTACTTTTCCCATGAAATTCTTACAGCAAGCCTGCTTTACAAATGGGGAAACTGAGGTACAAAGAGCTCTAAGTGTCTTACTCAAGGTCACATGAAAGGTGAGCTAGAATTTGAACCTGGTGTTGATCCTTTGCAGATGTCTATGCTGAGGGACGTGATGTGACCGGTTCTGGGTCTCAGCCATGACTCTGTGTGTATGTGTGTGTTTGCTCATAAGAGGGTGGCTGTTGCGTGTGTGTGTGTGTGTGTTGTGTGTGTGTGTGTGTTTGTGTGTGGTGTGTGTGTGTGTGTGTGTGTGTGTGTGGTGGGTGTGTGTGTGTTCGCTCATAAGAGGGTGGCTGTTGCGTGTGTGTGTGTGTGTGTTGTGTGTGTGTGTGTGTGTGTGTGTGTGGTGTGTGTGTGTGTGTGTGTGTGTGTGATGGGTGTGTGTGTGTTCGCTCATAAGAGGGTGGCTGTTGCGTGTGTGTGTGTGTGTTTGTGTGGTGTGTGTGTGTGTGTGTGTGTGTGTGTGTGTGTGTGTGTGGTGGGTGTGTGTGTGTTCGCTCATAAGAGGGTGGCTGTTGCTGACCGGCAGAGGCTTCTGGCTCAGTGTGATGTGAATTGAAAGACCGGAAGCTTGGGGTCAGTCTGTTTTCTCCAGGAAAAGTCAAAGTTGGGAATAATATTTTTAATTTAATTTTTTTTACAGTAGTTCTTTCCTGGTAAGGTTGGGAATAATTTAAAGTGAGTGCATAGAAATGTATTAAGTGTAGAAGCTGATTAAAAAACAGTGACATAATATAATTCCTATAGTGTAACAAGCCACGTTTGTTTAAATATATACCTGCATGTACTTTTGTATATGTGTCTGTATTTTCACAGAAAGATCTGGAAATCTTAACTCAAGTTATCTCTGGGTGGTTGCATTAGTGGTGGTGTTTCTTTGTTGTGCTTTTGTGAAATTTTAGATTTCTCAATAATGGACATTTGTTGCATTTGAAATGAGAAAAACCACAGTAAATGTTTTAGAATGAAAACTCATAATGTGTGAAGTGGGCTTGTCATGGACAAGCGGGAAATGATGCCATCCTGGTGAGCGCTCTCGTCCTGGACCAAGGCAGCCATGACTTGACTTTTTCCTTCTTGACTGTAGTGACTTGTGAGCTTGTTGGGGCTCCTGGCCTGGTGGCACCTCCCAAGATTTCGGGAGATGCCTCTGAGTCTGGTCCAGCCATCCTGGCTGCCTGCCTGCTTCTCAGGATTGAGCAGCTCAGGATAGGCCACCTGCACTAACAGGTGTGGTCTTCCTACAGGCCAAGCTATGTGGTCCCCACCAGCCTGTCTCACGGGATCAAGTTGGTCAACCCAATGTTCCGAGGCTATGCCCAGCAGGTAGGCCATCTGAGCTGCCCAGGGGACACCCATGGCGGTTACCTACCAGGCCTGGCTTTGAAGCCAAAACCAGAATGGAAAACAGCAGCAGCAGCTGAGTGTTGCTGAGAGATCACATGGCCCAGGCTGTCATGGCCTAAGCCCTTCACATGTGGGAGGACGTGGGAGCCTCTCAGGAACCTTCTGGTGTTTAACCCCATCTTATTTATTTATTTTTTTTCAAAATGAAAGAATGAAAATTTTATTAAATAACTTAAGAGAAAAAAACCTCACACACTTGCTTTAACCCCACTTTATAGATGGGGAGACTGAGGCTCAGGGGGCCATGTCACATGCTCAAGTCACATAGCAGGTGAATGATGAAGGGGATATTTGGACTCAGGCAGCCTCGCTGCCGAAAATTTTATTAATTAACTTAAGAGAAAAAAACTTCACACACTTGCTTTAACCCCACTTTATAGATGGGGAGACTGAGGCTCAGGGGGCCATGTCACGTGCTCAAGTCACATAGCAGGTGAATGATGAAGGGGATATTTGGACTCAGGCAGCCTCGCTGCAGTATCCATGCCCCTCAGCTCTGCACTCAGAGCAGCACATGGTTTCTTGTTCCCCAAACCACAGGCAGAGTTGTACCTTTATTAAAGTAAAAGTTTTTATTAAAAACTTTAATATACAGAATACCCTCAAAACCAACCATATCTTTCTGTGTTATAAAATCGCAAGACCAGGACAAAGCAAGTGCAGCTGCGTGTGCCTCTTTTTTTTTTTTTTTTTCTGACCGGTAAGGGGATTGCAACCCTCGGCATGGTGTTGTCCGCACCACGCTCACCCAGTGAGTGCACCAGCCATCCCTATATAGGATCCGAACCCGCAGCCTCGGTGCTAACAGCGCTGCACTCTCCTGAGTCAGCCACGGGGCCAGCCCTGCGTGTGCCTCTTTTTGCCCCCAGCTGAGGCTCCTGTGGTCCCGTCCTGTCCCAGACTGCTGCGTGGCAGGAGTGTCCCCACTGGCTGGTGGAGGAGCTGGGCTCCCAAGTGTGGGGTTTGCATGTAGAACAGCAGTCATTCAGGGGATGCCTCTAGCTCTCTCCCCCTGTCCCTGTCTCTGCCCGCCATCCTGTCCCAGGTCGAGGACTGCTAGGCACTCTTCTGCTCACACCCGTGCTTGGAGGAACACCAGACTTCTGCCTGAGAAGCCCAGTGACACCTGAGCACCCTTCTTTTTCGGGGAGTGACAACATCCACAGTGATCCAAATTCACAGTAGCCATTTATTACATGACGTGCCACAGCAGTATGGCCCTGTTTAATCCTTACAGTACTCTCATGCGTTGGGCACTGTCATCATCCCCATGTTACAGGGAAGGAGGTGAGGCTCAGAGAGGTCCCATGCCTCACTCAGGTCACATAGCACAGAGTGGCAGGGATGGTTTTCGGGCCTAGCTGAGCCCGTCTCTCATTGTACTGCTGCCCTCAGCTCTGGGCGAGGACACCATTACGTAAGGCCACACGGCTGCTGCATGGCATCCATCTGGACTCCAGGAGAAGCATTCCTTTCTCTGACTCTTGGACATAATGCCGGGGCCGTTTCTGAGTCTGAAACGCAGAGGCAGCTGTGGTCCTCTCTTAATGGCAAAGGATGCTTTCGTGCTTCTGCATGGATTGAGATTTTGATGAGGAACACATAGTACTTCTCTTAAAAGGAAGACCCAGAGGGAGAAGTAGGTGGCATATTGAAGACCTGTTTCTTGAAAGGACCTTTCAGTGTGCCCTGATGTGACATAAGCCTGTGGTCAGTTCCTCTGATCTTGGAGTCTGACACTTTGCCTGAGGAAATCTGCCCTAAGCCCTCCCCTCCCCCTGCTAGGACTGAGAGAGACAGGCTCCTCCCTGTTATTTGTGGTGTGGAGCTGGCTCCGGCTGCTGCATGACCCCTGCCCCCTCTGGGTCAGGGCTTGGGCCAGGGGTGCTGCTTCTGACACCTGGGTCAGGAACTGGCAGGGGCGGGGCTGGACTTGGAATCCAGGTCCTCCTCTGGTGGCCCAGCACTACTCCAAGTGTCCCCAGCTATTGGAGTTGACTGCTGTCACTATCCTCTGGCCTTCCAGAGCACCTCCTGCACAAGTGCGTGGCTCAGCTGGGCCCAGTGGATGAATTAGCCAGAACCCTGCTGCCCTGGCTTCCTGCTAGCCTGGTGACCTGGTCCTAGAGTGGTCAGAATAAAACCGTCACTACTGTGACTTGAGACCCAGTCTGCCTGAAAAGGCAGCTTGGTCCAGGTTATGCCCAGGCCTGCAGGAAGGTGAGGTCCTGCCTCCAGGGCCTGTGCTTGTGTCACAGTGTCATAGTGGCAAGGGAAAGTGTGGGCACCCACAGCTGAGGGGACAAGGGAGGGCATGTGGGGGCTGGTGGCAGGATGGGAGAGCAGGGATAGCCCAGGGAAGGGGCAGGCACAGAGGTGGCCTGGCCTGTGGGGAGCACACAGCTCAGCTGAGCCCTGTCAGAGTCATGCCCCCTCATCCCTCCCCAGGCTCCTGCCTGCCCCCACCGGCCTCTGCTTTAGAGAGCAAGGTACCTGGAGAGGCTGAACATGCCACCTCCTCTTTCCCTGCCCACATCGAGCTTGATGCAGAGTCGCAGGTGACTCTGAGCATGAGCTGGGGAGTTGGATGGACCTGGATGTGCATCTGGCTCTGCCACCTTATGGCTGTGTGTCTTGGGAGGAGTCCCTTAGCCTCTTTGAGCCTCAGTGTCCTCTTTGGTAGAATGGGGATTAGGACAAGAGTGCCATGGGAAGCTGCTGCAAGGGACCAGGGACCTGCCAGGCAGAGGCTGGCTTCCTCGATGGCAGCAGCAGTGGGCACTTGAGGCTGGTTTCTCCTGTCCCCTGCTCCAGGACACCCAGGAGTTCCTGCGCTGCCTCATGGACCAGCTGCATGAAGAGCTCAAGGAGCCAGTGGTGGCAGCGGTGGCAGCACTGACAGAGGCTCGGGACTCGGACTCAAGCGACACAGATGAGAAACGGGAGGGCGACCGGAGCCCATCAGAGGATGAGTTCCTGTCCTGTGATTCAAATAGTGACCGGGGTGAGGGTGATGGGCAGAGTCACGGTGGGGGTACCTCGCAGGCCGAGACAGAGCTGCTGATTCCAGACGAGGCAGGCCGCGCCATCTCCGAGAAGGAGCGGATGAAGGACCGCAAGTTCTCCTGGGGCCAGCAGCGCACGAACTCAGAGCAAGTGGACGAGGATGCTGATGTGGACACCGCCATGGCCACCCTCGACAACCAGCCCACGGAGTCTCAGCCACCATCACCACGGTCCCCCAGCCCCTGCCGGACACCAGGTATCAGACAGCTGGGAGCTGTGCAGGACAGCTGGGAGGAGTCACATCCTCATTTGTCTAGTACCTACTGGGTACCAAATGCCAGCACGCAGTAGCCCACCCTAGGGGTGGGTTCCACCACTAGACTCAGGATACAGGTGAGAGGTCAGCCTTGGAGAGGCTGAGTGATGTGTCCAGGTTCACTTAGCTAATAAGGCTGGAGCCCAATTCTGAGTCCTGCCCCAGAGCCCTGAGCTCTCAGCTGGAAACCTAAGGGATGACACCATCCTGGTGTGTTCGTTGGGGCCAGGGTTGGGCACAGGACAGAAGATACACATTGGGTTCAGGCTAGCTCAGTTGGTTAGAATGTGGTATTAATCACACCAAGGTCAAGGGTTCTGAGCCCCATACTGGCCAACCTGTCCACATTGGGTTCAGGCCGTAGTCCCATGAGGAGATGCTGACAGGTCCTCTTCTGGCCTGGGCCCCAGAGCTGGCATGAGGACTCGCAGCCTGGCTGCCTTGGCTGCTGTGACCCAGCACAGTCCCCTCTCTGCCCCCAGAGCCAGACAATGATGCCCACCTACGCAGCTCCTCTCGCCCCTGTAGCCCTGTCCACCACCGCGAGGGCCACGCCAAGCTGTCCAGTAGCCCTCCTCGTGCCAGCCCCGTGAGGATGGGGCCATCGTACGTGCTCAAGAAAGGTGCGGAGGGGCGGCGGGAGGGCAGACCAGCTTGGGCCGAGCTCGGAACCGTGCCCGTGGCTGCCATTTCCAGCACTTGTTGCCGGGGGCTAGGCTGTGTGCCCTTCATGCAGTGTCTCTGAGCCCTTATAGCACCCCTGAGCCGTGAGTGGGCGAGCCCCATTTTACAGTGGATGAGGCCAAGGGTCAAGGAGGTGAAGTGCATACCCAGTCATATGACCCAAAGATTCCACCCCACGTCCTGGCAGAGGAAGCCCAGGTGCCTATGCCCTGCCCCAGCCAGGCAGGTGGAGGCTGAGCCTAGTCCTGTGCTGTGCCCCCAGCCCAGGTGCTGAGCACGGGTAGCCGGAGGCGGAAGGAGCAGCGCTACCGCAGTGTCATCTCGGACATCTTCGACGGCTCCATCCTCAGCCTCGTGCAGTGTCTCACCTGTGACCGGGTGGGTGTCCCCGGAATAGGAGGTGGGGTGGGCTCTCCACCTGGTGCTCCCTGCCTTTCTCCAGGGGAGGGCCATGGTTGCAGGGCTACCCTGTCCAGGGCCTGGGGAGCAGGCACCCTGCCCCTGACTTTCCAGCTGGGGTTTGGGGTGCAAATACTGCCAGAAGATGGGCACCAGGCTGACCTTCAACCCCACAGGTGTCCACCACAGTGGAGACATTCCAGGACTTGTCACTACCCATTCCTGGCAAGGAGGATTTGGCCAAGCTCCACTCGGCCATCTACCAGAACGTGCCGGCCAAGCCTGGCGCCTGTGGGGACAGTTACGCCGCCCAGGGCTGGCTGGCCTTCATTGTGGAGTACATCCGACGGTATGCCCACATTCCTGCCTACCTTCCCAGCAGCCAGGGACACAAGCGGGGTCCTGTCCTGGCTCTCTTGGGCAGAGACAGACCACGCAACAAAGCACAAGCATTTGCAGGGACCAGGGGAGTCCAGAAGGGAGCTGGGGGCTGATGGATGCACAGGAGCTTGCTTAATTTGGGAGGAGAGGTCCTTGGCCACTTTGGGAGAGCCTGGATCAGATGGTCACATGGAGCTGGAGGGCAGGTGACAGTGGGGAGACTGACCAAGTGGCAGGTGGAAGGGAAGGTGACAGAGCACAGCCTGGCCCTGGCAGAAGAGCAGCGGGCAGCATTCCCAGCCCCTGCTGCCTGCCATGATCCCTGCTCCACTTGCCTGACACCAGGAACCTGTATGGCCATCAGGAGGAGGGGACAGCATACCATGCCCCTCACAGATGAGGAAGGCGAGGCTTGGGAGAGGTGATGTCATTCGCCCGAGGACAGGGAGGTGTCTGGCTCCAGGCCTCTGCCCTCTACCTACCATGCCAAGCTGCCTCTCTGGTCCTTCAGCGTCCTTTTGGGGCTCAGGCCTGGACAGACCATGCCCCTCACAGATGAGGAAGGCGAGGCTTGGGAGAGGTGATGTCATTTGCCCGAGGACAGGGAGGTGTCTGGCTCCAGGCCTCTGCCCGCTACCCACCATGCCAAGCTGCCTCTCTGGTCCTTCAGCGTCCTTTTGGGGCTCAGGCCTGGACAGACCTCAGCCACAGTTCCCCTAAGTCTTATTCTTGCCCAGGCCCTGGCAGCACCCCAGTGTCCCCTTTCTGTCTCTAGGTTTGTGGTGTCCTGTACCCCCAGCTGGTTTTGGGGGCCTGTAGTCACCCTGGAAGACTGCCTTGCTGCCTTTTTTGCTGCTGATGAGCTGAAGGGTGAGTGGCCTGGCTTGAGGGGGCGGGGTTGCTGGGGGGAGGCTCCTGCACAGACCCTCACTGCCCAGGCCTCAGGCCGGTGTGCAGCCCAGGGCTTGTAGGACACACAGCTGGACTTTGCTTCCAAAGTTGAACCCATAAGATTCCCACTCCTGCCACCTGCCAAGGCGAGCCTGGACTGTGTGTTCTCCCAACCCAACTGCCTTATGACTCATGGGTTTAATTTATTTTTATTTTTTACCAATTTGGTGGGCAAAAATGATCAGTGCTTTAATTTTGCATTTCCTTGATGGTAGATGAGTTTGATCATTTTTCATTAAGTATATTGGCTGTTTGTATTTCTCTTTTCAAAATTTCCCATTACTATGCTTTTCGTATTTTTCTGCTGTTTGACATCTTATTAATCTTTGGGGAAACTTTTTTTCCAGTTTTCAATGTGCTAAAATATAACATAAAATTTACCACTGAACCATTTCTAATGTGATTTTTAAGGAAGTATACAGTCCAGTGGCATTAAGTACGTTCACATTGCTGTGGAGTCGTCACCACCATCCATCTCCAGAATGTTTTCATCTTGCAAAACTGAAACGTTGTATCCATTAAACAGTCCTCTATGCCCTTCCCCCAAGCCCCTGGCAGCCACAACTCTACTTTCCCTCTCTGTGAATTTGACTACTCTAGGGGCCTCACATAAGTGGACTCATAATGCTTGCCTTTTGGTGACTGATTTACCGAGCATAATGTCCTCAAGGTTCATCCATGTTGTAGTGTATGTCAGAATTTCCGTCCACTTTTAAGCTGAATAATATTCCGTTGTATGGATAGACCACATTTTGTCTGTCCGTCCTTTCAGCCGTCAGTGGACGCTTGGGTTGCCTCGGTGTTTCAGCTATTGTGAATCACGCGCTGTGAACGTGGGTGTGCGGAGATCTCTTCTCTCAGCCCTGCTAGGCATATACCCAGACGAGGGAGTGCCAGATCACGTGGCAGTTCTGTTTCTAATTTTTCGAGGAACTTCCTTACGGTGTTCCACTGTATGTGTGGATTCCCGCCAATAGTGCCAGGGTTCCAATTTCTGCACATCCTCAGCAGCACTTGCTGTTTTCTGTTGTTTTTTTACAGAAGCAAACCCAGTGGGTGTGAGGTGGTATCTCGTTGCCGTTTTGATTTGTATTTTCCTCGTGACCAGTCGTGATAAGCACCTTTTGTGTGCTTGTTGGCCATTTGTGTATCTTCTTTGGAGAAATGTCAGTTCACGTCCTTTGCCCATTTTGTAATAGGGTTATTTTGTTGCTGCTGTTGTTGAGTTGTGGGAGTTCTTTATATATTCCGGATATTAACCCCTTATCAGATACATGATTTGTTAGTATTTTGTCTGATTCCGTGGATTGCTTTTCATTGTGTTGATTGTGGCCTTTGACTCACAGAAGTTTTTAATTTTGATTTAGTCCACTTCATCTGCTTTTACTTTGATTGCCTGTGCCTTTGGTATTGTATCCAAGAAATGACTGCCAAATTCAGAATCATGTTTTTCTCTATGTTTTGTCCTAAGAGTTTTATAGTTTTAGCTCCTACATTTAGGTCTTTGATCCATGTTGAGTTAATTTTCATACGTGGTATAAAGTAAGGAAGAGACTTTCATTTTTTAAAAAAAAAAGACGACCGGTAAGGGGATCTTAACCCTTGACTTGGTGTTGTCAGCACCACGCTCACCCCGTGAGCAAACCGGCCATCCCTATATGGGATCCGAACCTGTGGCCTTGGTATTATCAGCACCACACTCTCCCGAGTGAGCCACGGGCCGGCCCAGGAAGAGACTATACATTAAAGATTTTAATACATTTTCTGTCTTTAATGTTGCATCTCCCTCCCATTTTGCCTTTTAATTTTGTTTTTGATGGTGTCCGTAGAGGAGTTTAAGTGTTTCTAGGATCAAATATATCCCTTTTCCTTTTTATGATCCTGTCT